TGCTATAACTTTGTTATATAAAATCACTGGAAGCTTTTACTTGATACAGAGATTGATTATGATCCAAGAATGTGTTTTGACCTTGATCCAAGGTCTTTCTGGCAAGTTCAAGGTCACTGACAGAAAAGTGCAATATTCTTTTTCAGGTATATCTTTGTCATTGGGTATCACTGGAAGCTCATAATTTGTTCAAAGGTTGTTTTGACCTTAACATAGGTCATTTAGGCAGTTCAAGGTCACTGATATAATAAGTGTAAAATTCAAAAAGGTCTAGTCGCCCAAGTGGCGCAGTGGTAAGAGTGTCTGCTCTAGAGTCGTGGATTATGGAGTTGATCCTTACGTCGCAGGTTCGAATCCCACTGTGGGACGCAGAGACTGATCCTTCGGATGAGACCGTACAAACTGAGGTCCCGTCTGGCAGTAGGTGCTGGCACGAAAAAGATCCCTCACTGCTAAATGGCCATGTGTGCCGAGTATAGGTCAAAATTTGCAGATCTCCATCGGCAAATGGTGGCGTCTCCATATGATTGAAAAATTCTCGAAAGGGACGTTAAACAACATACAAACAAATAAACAAAAAGGTCTATACTTTTGTAATAGAAAAAATTGCATGCATTTGCATTTCACTGAAAAGATGATAAATATATCATCCAGAGTGTGTAATGGCCTTGACTTAAATTCGAGGTCACTTAGAATATGATGTTTTGGATGAATAGTCTGAAAGAATACGTGACTGTGATTTTTTTTATGTCGGTGACATAAAGATGGTGTTTGCTCTTAACCAGCTGCAGAATGTGTCATGGCTTGACGCAAAGTTATTTGGACAAGTTCAAGTTCACTGACAGGGGAATTTTACATTCCTTTACTGTCTTTCTACTGTTGAAACATTGAAAGTTGATGCCCCTTACAGGATTGTTTATAACCTTAAAATGTTGCATGACCTTGACTCAAGGTCGCTCAGTCCTGTCCGGAGCTCCGACGGAAGACCTATTCGTTGCATTGCAACGAGCTCGGCTCTAGTTTCTAATATTTTTGAGAAACACTACTAAAGATAATGCAGGAGATGGAGGGACAGATGCACAGAGCTCCTTTTCCCCTGATGTTCTCGAGCTCCCTACTGAATTGTGGGACAATCCTCCTGGGAGGTCTTCATTCAGTTTTATTATTTTTTTTTAAATATCTTCTATTAATTTTCTGATATTTAAAAGAAAAATTACGTATATTTTCAAAAACAATATTGTTTTTTAATTTTAAAAAATATTGATGTTCTAAATCTTAAAAAAAAAAAGAGAGAGTAAAGTTTCATAGTAAATCAAAGGATTTACTGGGGGTGGGGGTGGGGGCTATTCAGCTCAACATTAGAAAAAAACTTACCGAGGTTATACATTGTATATACAAGATGGAAGGGCAGATGTACAGAGTTCTTTATTTCCATAGTGTCTTCCATCCTGAATGTTGGATCGTTCCTCCCTGAATTTTAAAAAAATCAATAAATATTTTTTTTTGAAATGATTATACAATAAAGAAAACGTTTGTCGATTATACAATTAGTTAAGTTCTGACAAGAAAAGCCTACATATGTAGAACAGGCTGAGGGGAAGGCAGTTTTTACTTCTGACTACAAGCTCTGGCTGAGGATCAGCTGTCACAGTCTGATGAGATTGCTTAACCACCTTTCAAGCTTCTTCTGAGGTAGTTCTTGTACAGACTCAGGAAGTGGCAGTATCGTCTTCTCCTGGGGTAGTATAGACTCAGGAAGTGGTAGTGTCATCTTCTCCTGAGCTAGTTCGTGTACAGGCTCAGGAAATTTTTCCATTTTACAATGACAAAACTTGTTGTTTATAATTTTAATAAAGGAATTCCAATATATCTTCTAAAAGCTTCTGATTTCCATCTTCCTAACAGCTGAATCTGATCATCAGAAACTCCTTTTGATTTAGCCCATGATGCAGCACCAATTCTAAATGAATGACCCTTATAAATTTTAGTATCATAACCCAAGAATGTAAGAGAAATTTTCAATTGTTCATTGAACATATGGCGTGTAATAGGCGATTGATCTCTAAGCATGAAAAGAGGCCCATCTTCTTCACCCCTTACATTCAAATAATCTAACATTGCTAGCACTGCACAAGTTTCCGGTTTTTCAGTGTCTGCGGTTATTAGCTCTTCTGAGCCAAAGGCTAAAGAGCTAATGCTATGGCCATTTGTGCGGTGTGAGTAAACTTTTTAGAATATGGGCCATAACTCAAGAACCCCTCAGCCAATTATTGTCAAATTTGTCACAGGGTATCCTTGGCCCAAGGGCTCCCTTTTATACTAAAACTGGGGTTGTGACCCTTTAACAAGGGGAGATAATTAGGAAAATAGAAAAAAAAGTACTGGTTGCTAAAAAATCTTCTTCTCAAGAACCACTGGGCAGATTATCACCAAACTTACACAAAAGGATGAGGATATGTTGTAGATTAAAATTTGCAAGGGGATTTACCCTGGGGCAAAGGGCGTGGTCTCAAGGTCACTTCAAAGTTGACCAAAAATTACATTTTATTAAAATGTTGATATTTTGCTTACTATAAGGACTAGGATCATCAAATCTTGTCAGTTGGTGCATCTAAGTACCTCATATCATGTTGACTCAAAACTAGGTCACGGTGACCTACTTTTTAAATTTTGCGGCCATTCTTTTTCAAAATGATTTAGAGGCATATTTTGAACAATTTAAGGCCTATGATCATCAAACTTTGTCAGTTGATGCATCTTGGGTCCTCAAAGTTCGTCAACTAAAAAGTAGGTCACCTTGATCTACTTTTTGAATTTTATGGCTAATCTTTTTTAAAACAATTAAGGTCATTAATTCGAATACGGGGAGGCTTAGAATCATTAAATCTTGTAAGATGATGCATCTTGGGGACATAAATCATATTTATTAAAAAGTAGGTCACAGTGACCTACTTTTTGAACTTTGCAGGCATTCGATTTCAAAGCGTTTTAGAGGCATAATTTGGACATTTTAAGTCCTATGATCATAAAACTTTGTAAGTTGATGCATCTTGGGTCCTCAAAAAAGGTCAACTGAAAAGTAGGTCACTGTGACCTACTTTTCAATTTATATGACTATAATTAAATATTTCAGGTACTAATTGGCTTAGAATCATCAAACTTTGTCAGTTGATGCATCTTGGGTCTTCGGAGTAGGTCGACTAAAAAGTAGGTCACAGTGACCTACTTTTGAAAATTTATGGCGTTAATTAAATATTTCGGGTACTAATTGGCTTAGAATCGTCAAAATTTGTCAGTTGATGCATCTTGGGTCTTCAGAGTAGCTTGACTAAAAAGTAGGTCACGGTGACCTACTTTTGAAAATTTATGGCTGTAATTAAATATTTCGGGTACTAATTGGCTTAGAATCGTCAAACTTTGTCAGTTGATGCGTCATGGGTCTTCGGAGTAGGTCGACTAAAAAGTAGGTCACCGTGACCTACTTTCGGAAAATTTATGACTTTAATAAAATATTTTGGGTACTAATTGGCTTAGAATCATAAAACTTTGTCAGTTAAGGCGTCATGGGTCCTCAAAGTACAACAACTGAAAAGTAGGTCACCGTGACCTACTTTTGAAAAATTATGGCTTTAATCAAATATTTCGGGTACTAATTGGCTTAGAATCATTAAACTTTGTCAGTTGATGCGTCTTGGGTCCTCGGAGTACAACAACTGAAAAGTAGGTCACGGTGACCTACTTTTGAAATTTTATGGCTGTATTTAATATTTTCAGGAATTATTCGGCTTAGAATCGTCAAAATTTGTCAGTTGATGCATCTTTGGTCCTCGGAGTAGGTTGACTGAAAAGTAGGTCACTGTGACCTACTTTTGAAAATTTATGGCTGTAATTAAATATTTTGGGTACTTATTGGCTAGAATCATCAAACTTTGTCAGTCGATGTATCTTTGGTCCTCGGAGTACAGCAACTGAAAAGTAGGTCACAGTGACCTACTTTTGAAAATTTATGGCTTTAATTAAATATTACAGGTACTAATTGGCTTAGAATCATCAAACTTTGTCAGTTGATGCATCTTGGGTCCTTGGAGTAAAACAATTGAAAAGTAGGTCACTTTGACCTACTTATAAAATTTTATGATTATAATTTTAAAAAATATTTTAGGTATTAATTGGCTTAGAATCATCAAACTTAGTTGATGGGTCCTCAGAGAATGACAAGTGATAAGTAGGTCACCATGACCAACTCTCAGGTACTAATTGGCTTAGAATCATCTTGGGTTCTCAGAGTGTGAATTGGAATTTCAAGGGTTTATGTAAATATACAGGATACTTTGAGGCTTCAAATAGAAGTGATAGGTTGTACAGTTTATCAGAAGAGCGATTCAAGGCCCATGGGCCTCTTGTTTGAAATGTCATAGGTGGCTTGCCTTGATGATGCTTGAAGTTTGTTAGAGTTAATATCATTTCTTTAGGTCTGGCATTGGGAGATTTTTCCAATTGTATAGCTGTTAATGGTAGGACAGTAGAGGACTTTGTTGTGCTTGTGATTTCACCAATGCGTAAAAATGCATGAAAAGCTAGTAAAAACATTGCTTTAAACAAACATTTCTCATAAAATGAAGATGTACATAAATGAAGGGAGTTTACCAACTTTTGTAAAATTGAAGGGGTAATAGGCATTCTGACATCTGCAGTGGACTTTAATTTTTGAAAACCCTGAATTGTTCGTTTTATCACAAAATTTTGAGTAGGGTCAACATGACCTTCCATCTTACTAAAATGTGCTAATGTAGACAAATATGTACAAACAGTTTGAGGTGCAAGACCTTTTTGATAACAATTTGATATAAACAACACTAAATGTTCTACATCAATTGGAAATGTTACTGTTCCAGGAAAATGGTCTTCCAAGAATTCCTCATAAGCCAATTTTGCTCTCTGATATGAATTACGTGTCCCAACTGTAAGGGCATTGTCCAACAAGAACTGCGACACCTCTTTCAGATTTTGTATATTTCTGATGGGATCTCCAATGGAGACTTGTCCATGTGTGGAGCCAGTTCCCGGAACTGTTGAATCTGCAATCGAGACAATTTGTCACTTAATATGTTTTTGACACCTGGCACATGTTTAGCATAAAATAGAATGTTGAATTTCAAACACTGAACAATGAGACGACGCAATAAATTCATAATAGACTGGTCCTTTGCACTTTGTTTATTAATAACGTAAACAACTGCCATATTATCTGAAAAGAAACAGATTCTCTTATTAGCCATTTGATTTCCCCATAAATGAACAGCCACAACAATTGGGAAAAGTTCTTTTACAGATATATGATGTTTAGTCCATTCGGTCGTCCATTCTCCGTAAAACCATTGTTTTCCAAACACCCCTCCATGTCCTAAGCCACTTGCATCCGTATACAATTGCAGTGTTTCTGATGTTTGAAGCTTATCATCCAAAAAAAATGATGAACCATTAAAATGTTCAATAAACAATGACCATGCCTCTAAATCTGCTCTTGCATCTTTTGTTATTCTTCGCTTATGGTGAGGCTTTTTAAATCCTTTGGTCAAATCAATGAGCCGGCGGAGGAATGTTCTTCCTGGTGTAACTACTGCACAGGCAAAATTTAATAGCCCAATCAATGATTGAATTTCTTGTAGAGTCATCTTTTTCCGACACTTTGCATTGAAAATTTCTTTACGTATCTTGGAAAGTTTTTCTTCTGGGAGACGTATAATCATGTTATCCGTGTCCAATTCCAATCCAAGAAATGTGATGGTGGTTGTTGGAAATACTGTTTTATCTTGTTTCATTGGAATGCCGATGTGGTCAAAAGTGTTAAGAAGTATGCATAATTGTTTCTCACATATAGAGTAGGAAGGTGGTCCTACCAACAAAAAATCATCCAACATATGTACACATCCAGGAATCTTAAGTTTGTTGGTTACAATCCAATGCAATGCTGTTGAAAATTTTTCAAAAAGATTACATGCAAAACTTAATCCCATAGGAAGTGTCTTATCAAAATATATATCTTTTCCAATGGCAAACCCCAATAGTTCATGGTCAGATGGATGAATAGGAATATTTTTATAGCAATGTTCAATATCTGTTTTAGACAAATAAGATCCCTTTCCAAATTGTTTTATCAATTTAACAGCATCATCAACAGTTTGATAAGATACAGCTGAATGTTCTCTATCAATTCCATCATTAATTGATGACCCTTCAGGAAATGAGAGGTGATGGATTACCCTATATTCCCCAGGTTTCTGCTTAGGAACCAGACCCAGTGGAGAAATCTGTAATGCTTTAAATGGAATATTATTGATATGGAAAGGGCCCCCGACCCTATTTGTGGCAACTTCTTTTTGAATTTTTTCCTGCAAAATTTCTAAGTTTTCACGAGCTGACTTGAGATTTTCACTATAACGAAAAGTTCTATTGCCATTAAATGGAATGCGAAACCCAAACTTAAACCCATCCAACAAGTACTGTAGTTTATCCTCCTCATAACCCTCTAGCCACAAATTTAACACATCAACTTTTATCGGTGTAACCACATCATGATCTTTATTTCTTAGCCTTTGTTGCGGTCTGACTGATTTTGTTCCCGCTTGCTGGCAAGGATCTAACTGGGCTTGGTTGGATTTCACTTGAGAGGGTACAGATTCTTTTGTGGTGTTGTCCTTGGCACCTAAGGCAAATATGGGGAAAGTCACAGTTTGTTCTGAGGCACTTCCCTGCGTTGTTGTTGAAACTAAAGCACGGACCTTTTTCCTGTGATCTGGCACGAAAGGGCTGCTGTTTGTTTCCTGACTGCTGAGTATAGGAGCTGTTAGTTTTTGATGATTTCTCCCAAGTATGAATTTTGGTTTTTAAGCCAATCTGTAGTGCCTCAGAATGAAGTTCCTGGTTGATAAGCTGCCAGGGCATAAGACTTGGGCTATCCGCTCTCCACAGTCGAAATTGCTCATCATAATACAAAGCGGCCTTTTCCCCAACATCTGCATTTAATTTCTGTACAATTGCCATGTACTTCATCATGTTGGAAGACTGGTTAGGAAATTTCTCACAATAAATTGACACAAAAATGTGGAATGCATTTATCCACTGAGTGAAAGATTTCAAATAAAACTTGCTCTTTGTGCTGAAAAGTTATTTCATTGTTTGCACCTTGCACTGCTTGTAATTTTGAATATGGATTCTTGAACAGGAGAGCACCAAGTTGGATGTATTCTTCCGCCCAAATTTTAGCTTTCAATTTCTTGTCAATGCTTTGTCCTAAGGGACGACCTGAGTGTAATGGACCTGTTGCATTTAAAACCTTACCTTGGGTACTGTTTGTCAAGGGTTGACTTGGCAGGGTTGCTGCACTGCTTGTACCCTGTTGACTAGGCTCTCCTTGATGGACTGTTGCTACAACATTGTTATCTGGGGGCGGTTGGCTTACATCCAAGCTGCATACGTTGGTAGGAGATCCTTGCTCTGTAGGCAGATGCGACATATCTCCCTTTAATTTCTGAGTAACCATTTCTACAATGTTTGGTACCATTGTTTGCAGCATCTGTGACATCAGATCGGAAACCTCCTTTCTAGTTGTATCATCTAGTCTTCTTCTTTTGCGTGCTGGCGGCATTTTGAGAGCTGAAATAAATATAGCTTTATTACAATACCAGTACTAACGTACTTTATGGCATTTAGCATTGATTAACATCAAAATGCAAAAAAACAACTTGCAATTACCATTGCCAAGACAATTAAGTAAAATCCTTAGCAGAAATAAACTTTCATCTTTTTGATAAAATTCCTTAACAGGAAGTTCCTTAACAGGAAAAAGAAACTTATCATCCTTAGCAGGATGAATAAGCCATTATTCATTGCAAGGTCCTTAACAGGTCTTACATGTATTTAAAAATTCCTTAGCAGGAATACAATTTCATCCTTAGCAGGATAATTCAGAGACTTCTGATTCTAAGTTCCCTAACAGGAAGTTCCTTAGCAGGAAGAAACTTTCATCCTCCGCAGGGTAAATAGAAAACAATTGATTTCAAATACATAAATTCCTTAGCAGGAATAACTTTTCATTCTAAACAGGATATAAATGGATGATTGCAAATTCCTTTACAGGATTTAAAATAATTTAAAAATTCCTTAACAGGAATCAATTTTTACAACCTAGGCAGAATAACTCAGCCTGCTTACCATAATCTTAAATAGGATATACCTGATATTTCCTTATTGTTAACATAATGAGAGAGACCGAAGACTCTGTAAATTATCTAACATGGTTAACACCACTGTCAGTACCTTAAGAGTATCCCTTCCAATTCTAGTCTTTGATTGATGCGAAAAACTTTACTGGCATGTACTGCTACTTAATCTGTAAAACATGTCTGTATGCATTAAATGTGAACGTCGTACAAATTCATACGCAATGAAATTTTTCATATCAAACACTGAGTGCAATATGTCACAACTATTATGTAAAATTTTCACAAAAGATACATATATATATAGTACTGTATATATATACAAAGCATTATGGATTAAAATCATTCATCTGCTCACTATACTTACTTCAGAGTATGCAGAATGGCACCTCGAATGTTCCTATAATATTTATGGTAGCCAACAGTCTCATTTAAATGTACACCATCCTGCTTGTATATATCAGCCTGACTGTTTTTTAACCCCTTTAACTTCCAATACCTTAAATTTGAATGTTTAGACAATTCCTTCTTAAGAATTTTGTTTGCAAAACTCACAAAATTATTGTAAGTACAATCTGTTAAATATCTTGTTCTTTGACGAAACAGTAATTGGCACACTATTATTTCAAGGGAATATCTTTTTGCAAACAAGTTTAAAAGGGCCACATATCGCAAAATGATTGTATTTACTTCATCAAATGTCACTTCTTTAGAGTCTAAATCATTCCCACCCAAGTGTACAACAAGACCTTTCGGTTTATGTGTCTTTATAAAAACTTCAATTCTTTCAACATGTCGTGAATTTTTAATACATCCTCCTGGTATTCCATAACAAAGAACGGAGCAGTCTTCAATATCAAATTTTTTATCACGATAAGAAAGGAAAGTTGCTAGTCTTTTCACGTGTGAATCGCCTACAATCACAACATCGGTCATGTCGCTTCATTTACATATTGACATGTAACTGACCAATCAGCATCGAGGATATCTTTAGCACAGGCAGACAATATCTCTCAGATCCGTATTTTCACAGCGTCCACACAATTCAACCATAAATAACAGTTGTTTTGTTTGTTTGTTGTTTGTTTTTTAAATACCTACATGTATATACTATGGGTTTCCTCACGTTAATGATGCTTTTCTTGTAGCAAATTGTTGATGGTCAGTCCGCGCCAATTTTCACAATGGATGTTCACAATGCAACCCACGCTATTCGTTTTTCCGACGTTTCCGCCTTGGCTGAACACACACAATAGAAAAATTACACTACAGTACATTTACTAACTTGCGACATAAAATGGATCCACCACTCACCGTGTTTGAAAACACTAAATAGCCAGCTTTCTACTACCGTAGAATTTCAGCTTTTGTTTACAAACTTTGACGTATTGCACTGCCACCTAACGGCAGTGTTACTCTGCAGGGAGATAACTCTCCCAACACACCAACTACAGCTCATGCCAAAAATGCATTTATTAACATAAATGTAATTTTCCAGAGCAACAGTGTCCTAGCATCCGATGCATCCCTCATGTATATAATCGCAGGTTTTCTGTAAATCATCAGCATCTTTCTGAAAACGAGCTCCATTTTCATTAATGATACTCAATTAGCTGCAGATCTGTAGCCTTATGGTTTTATATATTAGTCTTCGACGATAACGCTACAGATCCCGTAATACAAAAAAGTGCAATTTACGGCGCAAGATTTTTTGCTAATACAATGTAACCTGTCTTATCCGACATGCTGCGGGAAATAAAATCAATGTCGGATTAGGCAGTGTGTCGGATTACCCAGTGTTGAATATTTCTGAGCATTATCATTAGTGTCAGACGACTTCATACAAAAAAAATTAAAGCATTTTTCATTAGGTTAAGAGCACAGTTGTATTTAATTGTTAAAGTGTTTGCATAATTGTGTGTTTCTTTGCTGTATAAAATATATCTGATTAGGATTTCTTTGAGAAACAGCGCTTTGTGATATAGCATTAGTAAACTCTGTAGTAATATACGATGGTTTTTTTTCTTTTTTTTTCTTGGACAAAACATGGAACTGCCAGTTCAGTTTTTAATCTATAGCAATTTTTAATCTATAACAATTAAGTGCATATAATATTGCGAAGACTTAAGAACTCGATGAATTATGATGTATACAATCCATGATTTATCTCCAAGTTCTGGCCAGAGTAGAGCGATAACAGGCTGAGGGGACGACAGCCTCATGTCCTCGGGCTGTACAAGCTCTGGTTGAGGATCAGCTATGACAGACGCACAGGGTGAAAAATGAAGTTGCCATCTTCTCAAGTTGCTGACGTGTGTATCTTCAGCCCTCGCCGTCTGCTTCACCCTAGAGTTCCACACGGGAATGTCCTTCACTTCTTTTTCCATCCACTGGGGATGTCGCCTGATCCTCTGGGATCGTCCGAGCTCCATTCTACAATGACAATATAAATTATAATAAAACTGTTTTCCTTTAATTGTACTAAATAAACTGTAACCGAGTACAAGTTTGTTTGTTTGTTGTTATACGTCCCTCTCGAGAATTTTTAAGTAATGCGTGTTTGAAGACAAATGAATATTTACACTTTATTTTGAAGATAACACAGTTAAGTATTTTTAAAAAAGTTTCTTCTCTTAAAGCTCTGTAAAGGGTTTTCAAATCAGGTTTTAAAGGACGTGGTTAACAACTCATTTCTCCACTTGATAACCGATTATTGGGATGATTTTTCCTCAACAACAATTTTAACAAACTTCATCAGAGCATACATGTATTCAGAAAATATAAATAGTAATGTATTTTATCTATCATGTTGTTAATTTTGAATTTACTGGGTGGCAGTACATACATTATTAGCAGCAATCTATCCTGAAGCATGCTTGCTTAAATGCTTCAGTTTAAGAAAAGTGTTTTTATTCTCATTAATTTGATCTCTTCTGCCTACCTCAAAATCAGTTGAAAGTTTCATTGCTTGCCAGCAGTTTTAAGGTATGAGAAGTGCCACCAACTTGGTAACCTTATTGCATATATATATATATATATATATATATATATATATAATATATATATATATATATATATATATATATATATATATATATATATAAGCTATTTCATTTTCTCACAATATCCCTTTCTCTATGCTATCAACATGCTGCATTTTTGCTTGATCTATCCTTAAATCTTGAAAGCCATCTCTCTAATCATTAATGGTCATCCTGCTTGGTTCACCGCCTCTTCTGGCATTAAATTGTTAATCCTAAAACTATCAAATCTCATCTCTAGCTTGCAAAGTTTTGTTTAATCTAATGGATGATAAACATCTGATCTTTTTTTGTTGTACATGGAAACGAAATTCACTCCCCGTACTCTGAAGAAGTCCTCCATATTGATAAAGTGATTATCTGCTGGATATTGACGCTCTTGGCCTCCTTCAGCTCTCTCAGAGATTTCAGTTCCTGGTAGAGAGAATAAGGATGCACTGCAGGCATTCTTTGTATCATTCTTCGTTTATGATGATCGTTCACGGTAGCTTCGTCGGTAGAGCGCTCGCTCCGTGGTCGGAAGGTCGTGAGTTCGAATCTCGGCCGTCAATATTGGAAGTCGATAACTTATTCAGAATGACTTTAACTCCTAAGCTGAGACAAACTTTGACTTGGTTACGTAATGGTCAAGACCATTGTCAACTTTTCAATTTAGCCAAACTCTTAAGAAATTTATAATAAAATAATGAGAAAAGATTGCTAGCAATGCAAACAAATCGACAGAAACCTACAAAAGATCACCAAGAGTATTACATGATTCACATAAAAACTGTCTTAAACAAGATGTGTTTGTGAAACACTATGCACCCGGTGGCAACAAAGTTCGAAAAAGCTATTTTTAGCGTATAGGTCACAGTCAAGGTCACAAGGTCATCGACCTTGGTGTCATTTGAAGAGCTCAATTAGTGGAGTAAGCATTCCAAATATGAAGTCTCTATCTCTCATGGTTCAAAAGTTATGGCGAAGGTTAAAGTTGACAACAGACAGACAGGACAAAAACAATATGCGCCCCCGATCTATCGACCCGGGCGCATAAAAACAAATAGTATAATTTTTAATGAAGCAGTAAGTGAAAACTTTGCGTTTACCTTCTTTGATCGAAGTTTATCATATACATTGACAATAATCCGCTCAGTTACTAGTATATCAACAAACCCAACCAATGAGTAGACGCAACGACGATGCGGTGGATAGGAGAGCTAGCTCAGTCTGAAAAAAGGTGTTTTCTAATCCACGAAGCTAAATTTTGGATGCTCAATTTCTTTAATGAACTTTGAACTGGGCTCTTATATGATGACACTTGTACCCTGGTTCAGAAGAAAATGATTTGAACGAATAAACCTATTATCAACCGCTTATCTTCTAATGAAGGACTCTTTTTGTTTGCTTGCCCTGATCAATGTCTCAGACATGAAATCAAAGTTGCTGGTTATTACGTTCATCCCAGACAAAGCTGATGCGCGCTTTGCCATAGTTTTTTTCCAGTTTATTTGAATGGATTGCCTTTATATTGTCTTTTACAGGTCTATCTATATACTTCATCTGTAGATCTGCAGCAATGCAAAAGCAAGACCTAGTTCTTACATTCGAGATGAATAAGATTCCACTAAATCAGGTCGTTACTGCTCAACTATAGGTATCAGTATCCTCATAGGATTTATATATGAGCTGGTAATATCAACTTCCACACACGTTCTTTGTTCCTAGTGGAATTCTGAATTATTTGTATGGAATCTTTTAAGATATATTTTTGTATAAAATTCCTTATGACACCACATATGACTTGCTGCTTCTCTGCATCACTTAGTTCATTGGCAAGCAAATCTTTTAATGTGACAGGCTCTTTATTGACATCTTTCATGTTTAAGTATTGCAGAGCTTCAACAACCACATGTGATGCTATCACAAAACTGCCAAGTTCTTTGCACTGTTCATAGTGATTTTTTTAACAACTTCCCCATTTGCAGGTGATCTATCTAGTTTTTTTTTATTCTGCGTACAATGTTCCTGGTTCAGTTCAGTTGTAATTGTACAGAGTTTTTAATAATAGAGTTTAAAAAAAAATCTATAAATGGAAAACCTGAAATGTAACTGGTGACAAGTGACGAACCTTTTTTCTTCGCCATGGCTAGTTAGAGGACTCGCTTTGCACCAGAAAATCTTTCTCTAGTTAATTGGTCTACACCGATATGGACTTTAACATTAACCAGATCTGTTGCATGTTACTGTTGCATGTCAGTTGCATATTACTTACAATCACAGAGTGTTTTAATAAATCGGCGCAGGGTTTGACACTAAGGCACGTCCGACCGACCCAGTCTAGTAAATGCGTGGTCCGGTCCTGTTAAATGTTCATGAACTAGACCGACTGGTCGTGTGGATAAAATAAATGTTAACCCTCATTTCAGTCTTTCAAATAAATACTCTTAAAACTTTTTAAATAAATTTTCTTAATTTTCCGATTGCAAACACGGCCATTGCTCTGAAAAAGAAAACCTCCCTGCATGACCCAGTCGCTATTTTTGAGCCCGGCTGTAATAGACAAGTCACAATCGAAACTACATTCGTTCAGTATTATTTGGTATGAATAGTCATTGAATAATATAGTTTTTAATTTATTAACATGTATATTTACGGTAATAATTTTATTTGAGTTCCTTGATTTAATGTTCTTTAAAGCTTATAATATTCGCATGTTGAATCATTGGTCTGCTACCTATGGAACAATCTGTCAAAATATATACATAAACACGTGCGAGAGATACACTGTAGTATGGTTTCGAAACTTTTTTTTCCATTATAATAGCAGGTTTTTCACTATATAGTCGATAGAGCCCCGCCCTTACACCAGAAATTTTTCAAGTTTGGTCAGGGCTAGTGATTTTATGGTCAGGGCTAGTAAAAATTATGGGAAGTAGACCGACTGGTCTAGTACTCATAAAAGTTAATGTCAAACCCTGCGGCGGTGCAAAAACTTACAAGACTTGTAGAAGAAAAGTAAACAACTTCACTAGCGAATTCCGATCGCGATGGAGCACTTATAAC